AACTTGCATCCCATATAAGTGGTTCTATAAATAGAACCCTTGTACTGAAGAATTTCACTTGATGAAATTGTGGTCTTGAAAACCTAGTCGTATTTTGTCTCACTCTCTCATTCAAAGTTTCCATTCGTAAGCAGCTAACACTGTGACCAGAAGCGATCTGTTCGTGTCGACTGAGTAGAGATGTTACTGTTCATCAATGTTAGTGATCGTAATATCAAAGGTTTGAATAACCACAAGAGGTAATGATTTCTATCACTGGCCATGCCTATTCGTAAGGATCACTAAAGGAAAATATTAATTTTCCATTGCGTTTGGATCATAATTTTCCTTCACTACAACCCCCCGCCTTTACTAGGTCCTTTACACATATATCACTACACCAAGAAACCCTAATTAACTTGATTATAGACCTTTTAAAGATCTATTTTGAACATCATGTCAACTTTTTTCTTTTTTAATTTACGCATAGAGTGAATTGCTTCTTGGAGGATAATGGCATTATCAATTGTCCCTTTACCAGACAAAAAAACTACTCTGAAAGGGTCCAACTATCTGATTTAGATAAGGGTACAATCTATTAGCTATAATCTCCATAATATGTTTGTAAATAGTGTTACACAAGCTAATGAGACTGAATTCCTTAAAATTTTATGGGCAATCTACCTTAATAATTAATGCGACAAAAGTCTCAGACAAAGATAAGTGAAAACTATCTGTCACAAAAGCATCTAATGTAAGTTGGATAACGTCATCTCCAACTATATGCCAAAACTGTTTAAAGAAAATACCCTGGAATCGACTAGGGCGAGACGCCTTAAAAGAGTGCATTTGATTCAACACATAAGTGACTTCTTCCCTAACCATTTGTTGAGTCAAAGAGTGTTGGGCTTCTTTAGTAAGGATCAGAGGCATATATGAGTTACTCATACTAGCGGGAAGTATAGAAGATGTAGGAAAAAAAATAAAAAAAAAAACAAATGCTTCTTCCCTGAGAATAATATCATCATTGCACCAAACACCATTAGGAAGTGAAGGCCATTAAGTTTATTTCTCTTTCGCCTGATTACCGTCTTGGTATGAAAAATTTGGTGTCCAGATCTCCCAATTTAATCCAATTATCTCAAGCCTTTTGATACCAATGAACCTCCTTTTGCATAAAGATCTCATCATAGTCCTATTGAAACTCCTATTAGAGATAAACAAGTCTTGCTGAATCTATTCTCTCCAACAAGCATTGAATACCCCTGAGTCTCTTTTCAATATTGTACTTCTGTTGATATTGTAAAAAATTTATTAAAAATGTTGAATGGGTATAATAATTTATGAATGTAATTGAGTTAAATGAATATAAATACTCACTCCGTCTTATAAAACGTGTCTCATTTGTATTTTTTTGTCTTAAAATAAATATCTCTTTAGAATATCAATACAATATTTATTATTATTTTTTATTTATTAACTTTCACTCTTTTCAACTACTCTACAAATTATAATAAATAATATTAATTTTATCATTAAAATTAATGATCTAATAATTTTTTTAAGAATCTCAATAACTCAAATAAAAAATTTATTATGAAACCGAGAGAATAATAGATAGTTATAGATTAACAACTTTTAAAAAGAAATATTTATCTAAATAAAAAGAGAAGCAGGAGAGAGTATAGCTTCATAAAGGTGTGAGAAAGAAAGAGGAAGCGTGTAAAACCCTAGTTGTGAATCGAAAATGGGAATAGCTAGTAAAGTTGGGGATTACGCTTTCAAGGCATTCACGGCAACTCTCGGTGTCGCCACCATTTACCTCACCGCCACTTTCTCCGCTAACGTTTACAAAGGCCTTGCTTGGCACAACGCTCAATCCGTAATCATCTCTCTCCAATTACTTGTTTCAATCTCCATTTCGCCAATTCATTTTTTCTTCCTATGCTAAATTATACTATTTGCATCAATCAATTTAGGTTATTACTCCTTGAAACCCTTATCAAATCTTGTGAAATTGTTACTTTTCCTTGTGTATTATGTTTGTTTGGATACAACAAATTATTTGCAGCTTATAGCATAAGTCTTTATCATGATAAATCGAATAGCAAAAGATAAAATAAATCGAATATTCAACAACACTTTTAGATTGGGCAGTAGTGGCTATTCAACAACATTTTTAGATTGTTTGTATAATGAAAAATGAATTTTGATTGACTAACGAATAGCTCTCTCACTTTTTCTTATCTTCCTTTACCTATGAAAACTTTCATAATTCACTTTAAAAAACCACATTTTTGTTGGTAATGAAAAAAAAATCAACAATCTATACAATTGATTTTCTCATCTACAATTTGAGACGTCTTACTTATATGCTTAAAGTGAGTAGCCAAACTTTGCATTAATTTACTTGGTTTGGACTTTTAGTGTTATTCTCAAATGTTACCGGAGTATAGGTTAGGCTTAATCTTTGTGTTGAGTTGATCTTTATAGTTTTTTTTCTCCGGGAATTGTGATAATGTGATCTTATTGTCAAATTTCCTTGAGCAGATATATCTTTACCTAACATTTACTACTTTTTTGCGCAGAAGCTTGCTAAGGAAGATGTTGACGAGTAAGCTTCATGATTGATTTTATGCAGCCTACTATCTTGAATTACAGATCGTGATGTGTAGAGATGTAATGTGAGATTTTATTCTGATGATTTTTTAAGTTGATTGGTCCATAACTAAATGACCATCATGAATAATAACCTGTTTACCTATCAAAACTAGATAGTGATCTATCATAGATTGTACACCTATACGTTATTTTCTAGTTTACATCTACATGCCTGAAGATTTACTGGATTTTTCTTTTCAACATGTATTGGGGTATTTAGTTGAGTGGTATCGAGAATATTTGTTGGCCATTTTGCAATCTAGGTTATTTGATTGAGATGATAAAACAATATTTTTTTAAGCTCTTCTATTGTTCTCTTTTCATGAATCTGTTGCATTACTTTCCCCCCTAGTAATACTAGTAAGTTAATGCTGTAGCGTTCCACATTATGTTCTGTTTCTGGTGGTGCCTTGAAAGCATTTATCTGATCTGGTGAGAATGGTGTCTTGTAGCCGCATATAAGAGAAAAATAAACATTTTGTTGAATTTGGGGCGTTTTTTCACCTGTTGTAACATTTTTCCCATTTGTATGGTAAGGAAAGTAGATCAGATGGAGATGAGTCAAACAACTAGAGGTAGAGCAAGAAGACCTAACAAAAACTATAAGATAAGTTATTAAGAAAGATCACGAGATTAACGGTTTGGATAGAAACATGGTTTTAGATAGAACATAATGGAGGAAGTTGATTCATGTAAGCCGACCCCACTTAATGGGATAAGACTTGGTTGTTGTTCCATGGTATGAAGTCTTAACTTACTTTTGCTTTCAGTTTGGCCTTCTGTATGTATTTATTCTACTTTAGCTTTTAGGTATCAACTTATGCCACCTATGTGAAATGCCAAATTCATATCCAATCAACAAAAGTGAAGTCAATTATGTTACTACCTACAAAAGTTGTGCCACCTATAATGATAATATAGTGATTCACTTGCACTGTTCTGCAATATTTTGAGGTGACTGGAAGGGGGAAGAGGTGATTGTCCCATTATATATTATAATAAGTTTCCTACCCTCCTTCCAAAACAACCTTCAACAAATGAGAGATTTGGTCATTCCCATTTCTTCCCCCAAAGCATTTCCCTTCCTTTCTCTCATAACTTTCAACCAAAGTCTGTGTTTCCTCCAAGGCTGGTTAAGAGGTTTTGCATTTGCCACTCAGAATAAATACAGCAAATGTCAAAGTCTTGGTTAATAAAATCTCGTTTACTTATAGCTAATTGTTGTTGATACGCAGCAACAAATGTGAACACAAATTTTTTTTGGCTTTGTTTGAATTGAATTGGTTTTTGACATGAGCCAAAAACTAATTCAATCAAGTGAGAATTCAGTTTTTTTAGTTGTTTTTGGTTTGTTTGGATAGACGAAAAGTTCATATAATGTGATTTGCATTGGATTGGTGATAAACACTAGGGTGTTCAAATCCAAACTTATTCAAATAAAAATTGCAAACTGATCTAAAAAATCGAAAATCACAAAAAATTAAATATTATTTGATGTGTTTAGATGTCATTTTGTAAAAATCATCTGGTTCAAACTGGATTTTGGATTGATTCTGAAATGAATTGTGTGTATGTATTTTTATACTTATTTATTTTTTATTAACATAATATGTTTTGTTAGTTTATTATTAGATGATATTTTTTTTAATACTATTTATTGGTTTAGTTTATTCTATATATTTTTATTAGTATTTCATTTGTTTCAACTATAATAGATCATTTTCATTTAGTAATTAATTTTTAATATATTATATATTATATATTATACCAATTCTATTCTTCATTAGCACTTTTATAATTTTAATAAAAAAATAATTTGTAATTTGGATATATAAAAATCTATTCAAATTAAACTGTATAAAATTGAATTGGATCGGATTTTTTTAATTAATCATTCAAAATTAAATTGAATCGTAAATAAAATTACTTTTGGATCAGATGAATTTTTATTTTAAAATCGAATCACAAACACCCTTAACAAACACATTGTAATGTCCAAACATAAACCAGGTCTTTACTAAACTCAATTAGTTTTAGTTAGTTTTTATTTTAAAGTTGTTGTGTAAAACAATTACTTGGCGTGCAAGTAACAACAAACTGTATCTATTTATGTAGTCAATCTTGGAAAACGGCGCGGCGCGGCGGTCAATCCCAAAATGGAAGCGGCACGGATGCAGGTAGCGGAGTGGACGCTGTTCTAGCGATGCAGACACTAAAATACAGACACTTACATGCCGAAAAGATACTAGCAAATACCATAAAAAAAACTCAAACTTCATAAGTCTTATGCAATAAAATACATAATAGCATATTTTCAATTCCAAATATCATTAAAATGCATAAGTCTTAAGCAAAATACTTTAAAATTGCAATAAAATTAAAAAAAAAACACTTAAGCAACTAAATCTTAAAATAACTAAACATGAAAGTTCAAGAATCATTAAAACCCAAGTCTTTATCATCATTTCCTTCGCCATTAGCGTCATCTTCATCCTCTTCATACTCTTCATCCTCTCTAATATATTCTTGATCACCAAATTCATCATCTACTACTACAACTTCTTTTGCTTTTGCCTTAGATCTAGATGAAGAAGGTGGTGGAGGTACAACCGCCTTCTTTTGTAATGCTGCTTGACTCCTAGTGTTGATTGCAGGTTCAACAGCACCACTTGCAACCTCAACATCTAGTCAAGACAAATCATGACCATCAAACACCATATCATTATCAGGTTCAAGTTGAGCTTCACCTTCACCTCCCAACAACTATAGGTTATAGGTATCAAAATCATCATCTATGATCATAAGATCAATCAAATCATCACTATCAAAGCGCTCTTTCAAATTTTGATTGTACTTGATAAATATCAAGTCTTGCAACATTTGATCTTCAAGTTTATTTCTCTTCTTGGAGTGAATCTATATTATAATTTTAATGTTAGTTCAAAGAAATAAATATACATTACTCAAAAGAAGTTAATATCAACTACTTACATGCTCAAAAGCACTCCAATTCTGCTCACAATTCGATGAACTACAAGTCAAATTCAATATTTTAATAGCAAGGAGCTGAAAATTTGGTGTTTGTGCTCCATACCTCTTCCACAACTCAGCTACAATGGAACACTTATTTGCATTAGCATATATACATAAAAATGGTTATGTAACTAAATTATTGCAAAATAGTCATAGTTACTTAACAACAGCTACATCAGCTCTTTGCTTTACCGCTTCATTCAGTGCGAAGAATCTTGTACCCATCTTATATTTAGTCAATTCTCCATGGATGACATCAACAACTTTAGCACTTTCAAAAAGCTTACTGATGCATGCATAAAGGCCATCCAATAACTTCTCGTCATTCTCAATCATTGGATTGCTATAAAATACTTTGGATTAAGATAATACCCAACTGCGTGTAACAGATGATGAAGTTGAATACTTCATCTTTTATCAACAATATCAATGACTTCTTTGAACTTGCCTTCATTTTTGTTGAAGTTTCTTTTAGTTAACTCTTTGGCTTCCAACATTGCATGATAGATGTTACCCATTGTCGGCTTCTTTTCATTATCAACAAACCTACGAACTTTTACAAGAGGCTTCATAGCTTTAAGAGCATACACAATATCCTTCTAAAATGAGACTTAAAGTAAAATAGCAACTGCCTTCTTTCCTTTCACCTCCTTACTTACATTCAAGTTCAACCATTCTTCAGAAGTGAACATGGGTCTAATTTTTGCCTTTAGAGAGTGCAATCTGTGCAAAGTGAAAAAGTTTGTGGCAAACCTAGTGAATCCACTTATAACCAACTCACTTTATAATTTCTCCCTCATTAAGTTTAAAACCAAAGAATGGTTGTAAATGAAGACCTCGAGAGTCATTCCTTTTTGTATAACCTTCTTGACTCTTGGAATTTTTCTGATATCTTCTAGCATCAAGTCTAGACAATGAGCAGCACATGGAGTCCAAAATATTTTTGGCCTTGATACTTGAAGATGCTTACCGGAACTAGCTACACAACATTACTTTTGCCGATCTCTTCGACAAAACTATCCAAAAGCTCAAACAACTTTTTTCCAATTTTCACGTTGGTCGAAGCATCAACACTTTTAACAAACATTGTTCCTGACGGAGAATTCACCAAAAAATTGATCAATGTTCTTCCCTTTGTATCAGTCCAACCATAAGACATTATGGAACAACAATATAACATCTCATGTGTAAGTCTCAACTCATCTTGAAGCAAAGGAACTCGCAACTCATGGTAGCTTGGAGGCTTCAAATGTGCATTATACATACCCATTACTTCAACCATCAATTTGAAATTCTTTGATCTTGCAACATTGAAAGAAATTCCATTCCGATAAAAGAAACGTGCTATGTATTGGCAACAACTTGCTCCTACTTTCTTATCACAAGCATCATTCATGCTAGTTTGCTTTCCTTTTTTCAAACTTTCCTCTGGTTTTCTATAGTAAATTACATCCAAGGGGCCTTTTGTATTCTTCTTGGCAGCCGACATACTTCCCTCTTTGGCCGGTCTTTTTCCACTTAGAATCCTAGATATATTTAGCAGTCATGATGCCTTATCATCATCTTCATGGACTTCACCTGAAATTGATTTCTTTGCAGCCAATTTCTTATCTTCATGCTCTTGCAAAATTAACTTAACATCGTCCGGTGTTTGAGTGCAAGCCTTCACATTTCCTTTTATTCCTAATTGATGTTGTTTAGCCCTTGAAATTCCTCTGGTCGATGTTTCGTTACAAAAATCACATGTAACCCTCCTCTTATTATTCAAGTCTTTCAAATGGTTAAATTTCCGACCTATATCACCGATTGGTTTGTGTATCTTAGCAGCCGAAGCCACATATGGAACATCAGATGATGATGGTTGAGTAGAACTAGTAGGAGGATTAGTTGTCATAGTTGTTGGTAGAAACATAAATAAATTAACAGCAAAACTAAGTAGCATCCAAAACAGAATAAAACGAAATCCAGAACAGAAGCATTAAATAGAACATAAGCAAAAAAAGCCAGAACATAAGCAGATAAATTAGCAGAAGCAGAAGCAGAAGCAAGGAGAACAGAAAAAAAAAAACTAAAGAAGAAGTACCAGCAAGTCAGCAAGATGAAGATGAAGGCTGAAGGCTGAAGCAAGATGAAGCTGAAGGCTGAAGCAAGATGAAGCCGACTTAAAAGCTGAAGATGAAGGCTGCTGAAGATGGAGGCTGAATGATGAAGATGGAGGCTAAACGATTTTAGTCATATGAGAGAGAGAAGAGAGTCGATTGCTGAAAAGGTGTTGTAATAGTCAGATTTAGGGTTCCATAATGTTTTAACACGTCTGTTTTTGGCCAATCCCACCGGGTTTCAAGTTTCTAAAAATGCAGCACTTTGGGCCGCACCCACTCCGCGCCCGAACCTGCTATATCGGCCGCTCTAACCCTAACGGGAATGCCTTGCCTCTCTTCTTTGATCACATAGTAGTGACCATAGAAGAGACAATGGATTTGGATATCATGAAGATTGAAGACCGAGAGTGTATTGATGACATATTGTCATTGTACGTCATTTAGCAAGAAAAATCAGACAAATCAGACTTGAAATGAGCAAGTTAGAAGCAAAAGAGCGAAAAAGGCATGAAAAAGCGCTTTTGGGTGAAGAAATACACTTATTGAGAAAACTGGTGAAAAAAGGAACAAAAACATGCTAAGTGCTTATGATTAAACGCGCTCGCGTTGGGCTAATCATGGATCAATGCGCCCACATTGAGACCCGGCGCAGCTGCGTTAGTGCTTTTTGCTAACATGCTTTTAGCTGCTTTATGAGGAAAAAGAGAAAAAGAAAAGGGGTTCGATTTTGGAAAGAGAAAAGTGACATATTGGAGAAATTTTGGAGCTTTTGAAGGTCATTTAAGCCATTGGAGAGCTTGTTCTTCGGTGATTCTTCATGTTATTTGAATCTACACTTATAATATTGAATTATTTCAACATGAGTAACTAGATTCCTTTAGGTTAGGCCTAATTTGATGATTAACATGTTTTACTTGATTGGGGCATATGATCGGATGATAATGTAATTGCTCTAACTCCCTGTTATTATTCAGTTGTTGATTATGCTCATTGTTTTTTATTTGTTACGACATTTTAATTAATCTTGATAAGTAGTTACTATTGACCATATGACTATTTATCTGACATACTCTAACTATTGAAATCGCTAATTGACTATGTATATTATGAGTAGGAATTTTGACTTAAAGATTAACATGATGTGTGTTGTACTCCAAAATTTTCCCTCCCTTTTCTTCAAGACATTCCACACAAAAGATCTCAAATGCTCAAGGGTTCTCAAGAGTTTGATCAGACAAGCCCACCTCCTAAGCACTGAGTCCACAAATTAGGGTTTTGGTTTTCTTAAGGAAAATTGGACTTCTAATGCCTCAAGTGACTTTCATGGTTCATTATAGGTCTCCGAGAATGTTCATACCAAGTTTCAAGTCTTACATCACAAATTTGCTCAGTCAATTGCTTAGATGACTGAAAATCAACTATATTAGGTAATAAGTCAATTGTGGTCAACATACAGTTAAACTTCAAGATTTTTGGCCAACATCAACATTTTGAAGTCATATTCATCAATTGATCAAGGGTTGATAATAATTCCTCAAGGAAAGCACTCAAAACATCAAATGGGTAAAATTGTCAAAATTAGGGTTTTGACTGAGAATGACTGATCATTGACTTTTGACCTAGTACATGATCTAATAACTTGAAGCATGATCTCAAGGACTCAAACACAATATCTTGACCTAATTTCATGGCTCAAATCATTTCTAAAGATCAAGTGATTGATAGTTGAAGAATTGAGATCAATTGATGAAAAGTCAACTATCACACAAAAGTCAAACTTTGACTTTTTGGTCAACATTGAATTTCAAAGATCAAGAATCATCAAGACATTCAAAAATATCATACTTAATCATCAAGAATAAATAAAAGTCAACAAAAAATCTAAATTTTCAATACTTAGAAAAATTTCTAAGTGTTTTGACCTTGATAAATTCCCTATTTCATGACCATTTTCACTAAGATGCAAGATGATTCAAGGAAAACTTTCAACATGAAAGTTGTAGAGCATGATGAACTCTACAACTTTTTCCTTGAGGGTTGATGTCCAAAAAATGCTTGGATTAGAAGATATAAGCCCATGAAGTCATGACATTTTTATCAAAACACTTAGTGAAATATTCAACAAGTTTGGTCAGATTTTTGTCCCAACTTGGCAAATTTTCACCAAGTTCCAATTTTATTTATCCAAAATGGTCAACATGAAGGTTGTAGATAATGTTTCAAGCTTTCAAAAATGTCCAAGAACACAAAATTATCATGCTTGAGCTAGAAGTTTCGAAGAGATAAAGTTGGCACGATAAACTTGAATTATAGGTCATTTTCATGAAGAACACATGATCAAATCTCAAGCCATGCTGCATAAATCTTGTTTTGCAGGCTTCTAACTTGCAAATCACTCCATAATTAATTGT